TTGGTTGTTGGTTGATTGGTTGGGTAGTTGATTGATTGGTTGTATGACTGGTTGTTGGTTGATTGGTTGGGTAGTTGATTGGTTAGTGGTTGATTGGTTGGTGGTTAGTGGTTGGCTGATTGGTTGGTATCAGCTTTAAAGGATGCCATTTAGCAGGCCGTGATTTAACTTTTTTTTATGTCATGTATATGATTACTTGACTGAGATAGTCCGCACAGTTTGTTGCCTACAGGTAAGAACGTAGAAAGACTTTGTCACTATAAACTCATTGTGTTGACCCTATGTCCCCTTGCAGTCTAGAGAATGTCTGTACTCCCTGACTTCCCAGTGACCAGCAGTCAGACCTATCCCAAGATGGCTGCCAGTTCCTACGTTTTGAAATAGTCTGGAAGTTCAAAGATACACAGCTACTTTCTGCAGCAGACATTCCCATGGATTATGGAAGAATTAACTCCTGTAGAAAATAATTCCCAGTATGGTACAGATAGTGTTCAGCTTCAAGGATTTACCCATTCTTCAGGGAATAAAGTTTTCCTTCCGACCCTATAACTTCCCCGAAACTCACAACACAGTTGTTGCAGGTGTGCGTAAGTGTGGGCTGTCACTTCCTCCCCACTCCCAATCAGCTGCAGGCCCGTGCATTGGGCACACACCACAGAAAGGTTAACTGCCTCCCTCTAAACTGGACTATATTCACAGGAACCTTCGGGAGCTGCTGGCTGTCTAACTGAGACAGGCTGGAGTTAAGTCGTGCTCTTTTGAAGGGTGCTTGCACTACTTTAAGATCAATGACAATAAAATACACCATTAAAATTTAACTTGCCGGGCGGTGGTGGCGCACGCCTTTAATCCCAGCACTTGGGAGGCAGAGGCAGGCGGATTTCTGAGTTCGAGGCCAGCCTGGTCTACAGAGTGAGTTCCAGGACGGCCAGGGCTACACAGAGAAACCCTGTCTCAAAAAACCAAAAAAAAAAAAAAAAATTAACTTTTTAAAAGTTTTATTTCCCAATTTGAAAATCCAAGTTTTACTTTATAAAAATGTTTCTAAGAACTTCTAAACAGCCTCCGTGGCTCCAGCGTGTTTCCACTGGACAGGGCTGCCTTGGGATTTGGGAAATGAACCTTCTGTCCCAGATGTCAGTCCTCCAACATTCTTCAGTCTAAGCCACCTGTCCTTGCTGTTACTACTTAGCTGTATGGGACTTGGGGCCTGGCCTCCACCTTCCAGCACCATGAAAGTCTTGGCGTTGTCCTACCTGGGACCACTCAGAAAGGGGTTGAGGTTTCCAACAGGACTGAGACCATTGCTCTTGTGATAGGACTGTTCGATTCATTCTCGAAGGAATAGCTTGAACATTGACACATCTATAAATCACACAGATCTTGACCTGTGAGCACTACAAGTGAATGCGACCTATGGAATGAACGTTATTGATGAAAACCTGTCTGTTTGTTTAAATAAAAGACTGTAACATTTTTACCATTTTAACCATTAACACTGTAATATGTATGACTATTGGAATAAAGAAGAAACAGACTTGACTGATTCAATTTTATGACTGCTGGAAAAGCAGTTGGTATATAACCACACGAAAGCCATGGTATACTGCGCTTGCTTTACCAAAGTTTTAAGATGTATTTAAGAAGCAGGGAGCCAAGATCTTAGTAGCAGTTATATTCTATAACATATAATTTTGAACGTATCATATATATGTGTACAGTATACCCAAAACTCTTTTAGTGGAAAAAAAAAACTGTTTCTTGAAGACATTATAGATTTGATTTTGAATACTGAAAATTCTTCAAATGACATATTTTAAATTTCAAACCATCAACGGTAAGATTATACAGTTGGCATAGATGTGGTCGCTAAGCAATGAAAGATTTGATCGTTCCAGAGCTATTTTCTTAGAAGCCACCAATTCTATCCTAATTTTTAGGAAACCAGAATTCAGGCCATGGAAAAGGATTCAAAGAAAATGTACTGTTTCTCTGTCCTCAACACGGCTGCTGGGCGAGCGGTGAGTCACATCTTTGTGGCTGACAGCCTAACAGACTTTCAGGAGTGGATGGGAGCCTTCCGGAAGCATTTCTTTGATCTCAGTAAGTAGATATTTGCGTTCTCTAGCAGCGTATTCATGTGACTTGCGAGGCTGGACAACAGCCGTCCAAATAATAAAATAAGAAACTTGTAGCGGGGATTTTTCTTTTTTAAATTTCCTGAAAACCGTGGCCGCTTACCACAAACCTTCAGATAATGATCATCTCAAGATTGTAATGTTCAGAGGCGTCTCATTTTTAGTAACGTTCTGCTAACTGCAGATCTGTTGTGATATCATCTTGTGCTTCGTGCAGAGATGAGTTTTTTTAGCCCCATGAAGATCTGTTTCCATCTCAGTAACACAATCCAGCCCTGTGCATAAACTACGTAAAGATCTCAAGTTTCCTTCTCTATTCCTGAGAGCCTTGCTCACAGGTAGATTCTTGGACTCAGTGACACACTGACCAAACCTATGCGTTATCTGTGATTTTACTTTGAAAATGGAGCTGTTGGTGATGGCTGATTCTGATCCCACTAAGCCCCACGTGTTACAGGCTCATGCCATAGAGTCATTTGCAAGCAACAGAGTGATTTATGGACCACTCTAAAGAGGCGTCACCTGCTGCTCTCCAGCAGTTCCCAGGCCTGCTCTGATGTGCACATCAGTGGATGTCAAGGTGGAGGTTGGGAAGGAGGCAAGGACAGGCACCGAGTATGAAGATGGCTTGGTGGTCTATGCCCTGCTTGCCTCTCATGAGGTTCCCCAGGAGGTAAATTACTTGACTCTACTCCCAAGATGAGGAAAGGGAGACCCAGAGAGGCCTGAGGTTTGTGACATTGAACTAGGGGAGTCCTTTGGGGTGTTTTCCTTAAGTACCATCTTGAGACATGTGGTAAATACCTAAGTTCTTCTCCAGGTTTGCAGCTGTCCTGAGCCACTTTAGATTGAGTTGCTACAGATCCGTGCAGGCAGGAGTGACTTTCAGAACCAGTCTACATTCTGTTGTGCTGCTTTTCTGAGACTGGGTCTCACTATGTCCCGGCTCCTGCCTCAGCTTCCCAAGGGCTGACTTGGTAGGCACACAGGAATGATGATGGTAATGAACACATGTAGCTCAGGCTAGCCTTGCATTTGAACACCTCCGGCATTACAAATGGCATTGCTTAGGCCTGGTCAGTACCTTCCTCTCTTTTGCTGATTGTTGTTAGAATTTTGACTGCTTTCCTAGACTCCCTGATGTGCTGAGTCTGACTTACAAAAAGACACCTATTTTAAGAAGTGATTCTTGGCAGCATATGCTTTGTATGGGCCTAATGACAGAAGGGAGTAATTAAAGTATTAATCCAGAACATTCTGATCTGGCTGTCAGTGGGACCAGAGGAGGGCCTACTCTCCAGGTAACTTCTCATGTGTGTCACTTTGAAGCTAACCACTTTTTTTAACCAAGTTGTGCCAACCTGGCATCTTTAAAGTGCAACCTCTCTTACCTTTTATATTTTGTATTTTCAATAAAGCAAAAATGGAAGTGTTTATACTACCCAAAACATTGTATTATGTATAGTACTCTAATTTTCTTAAGTTCTTGTCATTTTTTAATTAACAATTAGTTTGTGCCTCTATGTGTCTCTATGTGTGTCTCTCTATCTCTCTGTGTGTCTGTCTGTCCATCTGTCTATCTGTCTGTGTGTGCATATGGGTATATGTGTGTGTCTGTCTGATCTATACGTGTGTGTATTTGTGTATGTATGTCTGTCCATCTGTCAGTGTCCGTGTGAATGGGTATATATGTGTGTTTCTCTGTCTGATCTGTATGTGTGTATATCTGTGTATGTATGTGCATCTGTCTGTCTGTGTCTGTGTGCATGGGTATATGTATAAGTGTGTCTGTGTGTGTATGTGTGTCTTTCTATCTGTCTCTTTGCGTATGGGTATATGTATAGTGAGTCTGTCTGATCTGTATATGTGTGTGTCTGTGTATGTGTGTCTGTCCATCTGTGTCTGTGTGTATGGGTATATGTGTAAGTGTGTGTGTCTAGTGTGTTTGTGCATGTGCGTGTGTGTAGGTATTTGTAAGGTACAGCACGTGTGCAGGTTAGAGCACAGCCTGTGGGAGTCAGCCCTCTTCTTCTCCTGTGTGGGTTTAACGTTGAGCCTCTTGCCTTTGAGCTATCTCATTCTAATTTTCTTAGTGGCAAGCATGCCTTCCTCATCTTGGTTGAAGTACAGAGTATAGAGCAAAGTAGAAGAAGATAATCAAGAGCAGAATAACATAAGAATAATTTAATATCTGGGTCAGATTTCAGTTCTTCGGCCCAACTTAAGAAAGGATGACTAGGAGAATAAGCTCATCAGACTTCATGAGGAAGTGTTAATAAACATAGGTATGCTTAGCCAGAATAGCATGGTCTAGAGGCTGGGGGCAAAGGGGATTGCTGTCTTAGTGTGTGAGAGTTTATAAGGGAGGTGTGACCCCTGTCCTAGAGTCAGTGGCTAGGAATGGTAGAGCAAAAAGAGAATGTTTAAACAAACTTGGATCATTATAGGTTTTTTTTCCCCAAATATTTACTACAAATACGGAGTTCATGGCGAACTTAGCATAGTAGATCATGCTAGGGAACACATACAATAAACATTGTGAAGAAGTCAGTAAGATGACAGCGGGTAGCAACGCTCACAAGCTTGAAACCTCAGTTCCGTTCTGAGAGGCCCTGTGGAGGAGGGAGAACCAACTTCTGCAGGCTGTGGCCCTGTCCCCGACAGTAGTGCCAGGGTGTGCATGTGATTACATGCACACACACACACACACACACACACACACATCTAATAGTAGCAGCGTTATGGGAAACATCTTTAATAGAGAGCAGGTTATGTGAACACAGTAGATCCTACTTGATATTAACCTTGCATTAGCATATCAGCTATCATGTATTTCTATGTCAACAGACCTAGTCACTGCAGAATGCTTCTGTTGTAAATCACCTCTGACATCAGGAACACATGGACGATACAGGGTTATGTTCCCAACCTGAGCACGGTTAATATTCTGTTCGCAGTGCAGCCACAAACCACTTTATCTTAAGATCCCCCATGCAGAAATCATTATCCCTTCACTGCAGGGTCCGTCCTGGAACCGGAAAGAGAAGGTACTGGCCCATTTAGAACGAGTCGTTATTTTTCATTAAAGACTATGTTTCCCCCACTGCGACAAAGAAGGGGGAAAAAAGGCTTTTACATATTTATCTAAAATAGAAAAGGGGGGAGGGGTAAGATGCCAGCTCCAGCTTCTGGATTCAGACCCTAGGGAGGAAACCTTTGCAGCTGTGGCCTGGGGGTTTATTTCCTGTTGGTTTGCTGTGTGGTAATCAGCATCATAATAAAATACCCTGAAAGGCTTTTGATGTGTCTTAACTAGTTATGGTAATGGATTCAAAATGTAGGCATTTCACAACAAAATGAATATGTAATAAACATGAAAACATCTTAAAAATTTTAAGCTATGGAAAACTACTACATTGGACAGATTGAATATGCACAGACTGCTGAAAGAAAAAAAAAAGAAGGAAAGAAGTGTTAACCTTACAATGCGTCTGGTCTGTCGTCCCCACTTTTCTAGTGATGTGAGTGAGATACAGGGCTGTGGGCCCTACGTAATTTCTGTGATGTCACTGGATAGACACACGGTATACAGGGAAGCCACTCAGCAAATACCAATCTTTTTTAGCCATAGAGGAGACGTAAGTCCCCAAACCTTAAGGTTTAAATAGTGACACAGTGATGACTATTAAACAAGTCTCATTTCTTAATTGGAAATTTAACTCAAATTAAAGATATGTCTGAGGACGTGAGTTCGGTATTTCTTCCTCCGTCTGACAGCTGGATGTCAGTGGGGATTTGTCTTTCAAACCAGTCTGGAATACTGGATGTCTTTATCTACAGTGGAGAAGAGAAGCCGTGCACACTTTTCTTCAATGTGAATATGACATTTCATGTGATTGTTGATGGTTTTGTGTGGTACTGTACTAGCTGGCCTCGGGATCTCAGTATCTACCCAGAACTGATTTTTTTTTTTTTTTAATGAGTCACTCATGCAGAATCAGCTTCAGAAACTAGATTGTACTGGGTTTTTATACAAGCTTCTTGAAAGCTAGGCCTTATTGATAAACTGTTCTTTTCCAGCACACACCCATGCAGGTACGCACACAAAGTACTGATGATATTGGTGGAAAATGAAATACATAGCTTCCCGTTTGTCTTTCAAACTAGCCTTCTCCATCCTTGCTCTCTTAGGCCAATGGAGACATTGTTGTGAAGAACTTATGAGAATTGAGATTACGTCACCACGGAAACCACCTTTGTTCCTGGCAAAGGATGCGACCTCAGTGTATCACGATATGAGTAAGTGGGCGGGGCTTGCCTCTTCCGAGCCGTAGAGCGACAGGAAAGCACCATTGTCCACACCCCAGCCACTTATGCTGTTGACATTAAAATGCTACACTTCTCAGGGCACAGTCAAATTGAATAAATAAAAAAGACTATGATTAGAGACTGAGAAGCTCATGTTTCATAGATGAAAGGATACAAAATTAATGAGTGCGTATTTTGGATGCCGATGATCAAACAAAAAAACTCCAGGCTTGAAAGAATAAGTCCTTAGATAATAGGATTCAGGGAGTATGACCATACAGACTTTAAGATGTAATCGTGTTTATTGTTTTCTCTGGCGGGTTTTTCTGTTGTTGGTTTGTATGACCAATAGGGAAATAGTAATGAATGGAAACATCCACCTCTGGTCAAAAAATAACTAGTTAAGTCTAACTCAAAAACTCATCTTTCTTGAGTTTCCATTTCACTTTCCCACACCTTGAAAGGTGTTACTCCTATGGGGTGGCCTCCCAGATAAAGCTGCGACTATCTGGACGGTTGTGCTGGACGGTATTTGCCAGTACACTTGTAAGGATGTGTGTATGTATGTGCATAAATATACGTATTTACAATCTTAGATCCCAGGTGGTGCCTTTAAAACGTCAGAGACACAAATCAGTAAACATTGGTCTCAAAGTTTTCTTACTTTTCCCAAGGGAAATTTTACCCAGCATCCTAATCGCTGAAGTTAGCATGAGGATTTGGGACGCCGGCCCGGGCCCCGGGGCATAGGTTTTGGAGGATTTTGTCTATTTGCTTTCCCTTTGTCTTTTACCCACAGCAGAGACTTCAAGGGTCTGTAGGGAAACCTGCTGAGTCATTACTTCCATGCCCTTTATAAAGAGAGCTTCCTAGTAGGCAAAATAAGGGTTTGAGGCTAGAAAAAGTTACTGTATAATAAATAGCTAAGCTAAAGAGTTGAGGAATCTGCCGGGCGGTGGCGCACGCCTTTAATCCCAGCACTTGGGAGGCAGAGGCGGGCGGATTTCTGAGTTCGAGGCCAGCCTGGTCTTCAGAGTGATTTCCAGGACAGCCAGGACTACACAGAGAAACCCTGTCTTGAAAAACCAAAAAAAAAAAAAAAAAAAAAAAAGAGTTGAGGAATCACTAGGATGTGTCTGCCAGTGTGAATTCTAAGCATTTTCCCTGTACTGTGTGCGTTGTATATATGATGTCTAATGTATAACTATGGTACATGACAGCCTTGCTTGGGGGGGCCCTCTTGATAAACTTACTTTCATAAATCAATGTTTTTATTACGCATCCTCCTCCCAAGTTTTTAATGCTCATTATACGTAGAATATTGATTTGGAAAATAAGAACTTATTTGGATAAAGTACGTACGACTGTTAGATGTTGTTTTTCTCCCCCATGAAATTTCTTCTTGAAATTATTACAGGCATCGATTCACCCGTGAAACTTGAAAGCGTCATGGACATAATACAAAAAAAAATCGGAGAGACCAACGGACAGTTCCTCGTGGGTCAGGATGACGAATCCACAGCACCCCCGTGGGCCGCAGTCTTTGATGGCAATCACGAGATGGTCATCCAGAAGAAAGTGTTGTCCCCAACAGTCAAACCGGCCCCCGATGGAAAAAGGAAAAAGAGGCGAGCTCCACTTCCTCCTACCAATCAACCTCCCTTCAGCATAAAAACACAGGGTAGCGCAGATCAGTCAAAGGACAGCGGGGCCCAGGTCAGTGTCTCTGGAGCCTCACCCTCAGATCCCAGACTATCACCACCTATGCATCATCTCCAGAAACCGGTAGCTGCCCCTCGCAAACTTCTCCCTGCCAGGAAAAACAGTTCAGCAGACGGTGGGCACACAGACGCTAAAACCAGTTTTGACGCGAAGCCAGTGCCAGCTCCAAGGCAGAAATCCATCAGAGGCATTCTGGACCCTCGATCGTGGCTCCAGGCACAAGTATAGGAACCCTGTACTGTGTAAATCCAGCTGTAAGGCTATGGTCAAAGGTATTATACGTGTAATGTTATGTAATTGTATAGGTAAAGACCAGAGCAGTTTCCAGAAGCCATTAATAAGCTATTAGGTACAGAAAAGCACCTTTAAATAGAGCATTAGATTTCTCCTTTACTTCTTTCCAGAATATAAATGATTTTCCCCCATAGAGCAAAAGAGGCAGTTTCTAGACAGTATCCTATTTTTTGGAAAGATTAATTTACTCCTAATTTAGTAGCAGGCAGTGAACAGGCAGCGAGCAGAAGAAAGCATTATTATTTTTTTTTTTTTTGGAGAGAGTCTAGTAACATAGAATGTGTTCAATACAAGCTGTATTCTCTTTGTGAAAGTTTTAATACTTAATGGAATGTTTCAAAGGTTTTGTTCAAACCACAAATTACAGAATCCACCCGAGGAAGTGTTTCCCTTCAGCTTTCTGGAATTCAAATCTAACGGTCCTCTGACTCCTCTCTGCCGTTTAACTGGAGAGTCTATAGGGTTGACCTTTTAAATTCCTGGGATACATTTTCGAATATTAAACTCTTTGTCTTTAAAGGGAATTTGTAATCTGCTATTCAAAGTCATTTCCTTGATGAGCCCTGAAATCCTGTTGACTTTACAGCTCATCAGCGAGGCCCATGATTATTAGTGAGTGAAGTGGATATGAAATGCCCCCCCCCCCCATCGCCTGGCTTGCTGTATGATGTTAATCTCCATTGTGGCCTCTGGAATTCAGGGAGACAAGTAGCTGATTAATGCCTTAAATTTTTACTTAATACTTATTTTAAAAACAGATGGCAGATTCAAAAATTATCAGGACGGTTGACCGCAGTAATTTTCAGAATTAATCCTTTTTCAATTTTTTAATTAGATTTTCTTTTATTTTTTTTTAATAAGGGCTGATGTCTGTTATTGATATTACCCGTTAAAAGTCATATTCATTCAGTAATCACATTGGCGTCATTTCCATAGGAGGTAATTTCCATAGCAACTAATCACAGTGACCCAAACAGGATTATTAAACTGAATGGGGGGATAACTAGCAAGAGGGTGAATATCTTAAATGGGCAAAAAGAAAAATCCACTTTTTATAATAACCCCCTTTTGTAAAGAAGAACAGCGGAACGGTTTTAAAATGTCATCAGAATTTCCAAGCCAAACTTCCCAGAGGGTGTTAACACCAGTCCTGAGAAGTCCAGGACCTCCCAAGCCCTAACAGGCACCATAAACCATCATAATGAGGGAAGTAGACTCCAGACTGCTGAGCTCTCTCGATCCGGGTGGGAACTACATCCATGTAAAATGGCCAACAAAGGCATTTATACAAGCAACCGGCCATCTTTTTTTTTTTTTTTTTTTTAAGATAGCAGAGGGTTTGTCCGGTTTGTCTTGGTTTTGTCTTTCGTTTCTACACAGTGCTGCTATAACTGCCAGGTAATAAATACACTGTTGCTTGCCCAGGAACCCCCAGTAAGAAGGGGAACCCAGGAGCAGTGACACACAGCCCTCGGTGACATCCATAGAAACCTAAAGAATAGATGGGCGTGGTTTTCCGAATAGGTGGGCGTGGATTTCCGAAGAATAGATGGGCGTGGTTTGGGGTTTGTTTTAATCTAAGTGAAAGGACCTCAGAAGTTTTGGTGATAATTGCCATTTCTTTCTCTTTTTAAAAATACGTATTTTATGTATATAGAGGGCATCGGATCCCATTACAGATGGTTGTGAGCCACCATGTGGTTGCTGGGAATTGAACTCAGGACCTCTGGAAGAGCAGTCAGTGCTCTTAGCCGCTGAGCCATCTCTCCAGCCCCAGTAATTGCCATTTCAATACATTATACATTATACGTTATATTATTGCTTGAAAATGCCTCAGTTAGCCCTCACCGACATCTTCAACAATTCCCATGAACTGTTGATGCAACCTCTTTTTTTTTTTTTTAAGTTAGAAGATGCTGCTGGCAAAATTGCTTCTGATCCCTGACACCCAACTGCCCCCCACCTCACCCCGTGCCCCTTCCTTACTGCGTTCTTCTATTGCAAGCTGGGATTTAAATACACCGGTCACCTTCTGATTGCTTGTACAAGTTACAACTGGAGGAATTTAGGTTGTGTGTGTGTGAGTGTGCATGTGCGTGTGTGTGTGTGTATGTGTGTGTGTGTGTGTGTGTGTGTGTTTTCCTAGAGATATTCTGGAGGAGTTGAGTTCTCAGAGAGCAGCTTTGAACCAGGTCTGAAACCAGCCTCCTTCCCAGAGCCTCATGGTGGATGAAACTCTGCCCAACCCCCACCAATTTCTGGAGGTCTAGCTCTGTACCACTCTGCTCCTCCTTAAATGCTAGGCCACGCCCACCCCAACACAACAAAAGAGAAGTTAAGACAGATTTGTCCTTCTCTCTCTCTTACTCCTCCTTCCTAACTCTTTCCACCTTCCTTCCCTCTCTTCTCTCCTTCCTTCACAACTTAAAAATATCCGGAGATACTGACTTAAAAGCTGCCAAGGACTTTTTAAGACGGCTTCCCCTCATTTGCTGAACTAGAACGCTGGCGGAGGGATGCGTCACGTGATAGGAAAGATGCGGCCGCTTTGTGTGAACTGGTCCTCGAGAGTCCTTTCGATTCATTTCTTTGCTATTGGATCTTGATAACATTATAATTGGAGAAACTTAACAGAAAAAAAAAAATCCCAGATAGTTCATATGGCGCTTGCGATGACGGAGAGATAACGTCTGGGGCAGTTGCATCTACACCTCAAGGACTGTACTATAAATGACAGCAATTTTCTTATTTGGACATCTTTCAATGAGAAAGAACACCCTTTTAAACATAAATACACACTTCTCAAACTAAAATCCATCGAAAACACCAAACATGGCCACAAATGCCGATTGCGCGGTTTCTTAATTGTCTGTGCCGCTCAGTACACAACTTTCAAAAATATATGGCTATGTGTGGAAAACTACACATTCCTTATCAATATTTATCTCTGCCTTTTAGGAGCAAATGCCCCTCACTTAGCACTGTTCATTAAAAATCTATAGGAGCTGTCTCAGCTTAGAGACCACCGCCGCAAGGTAGGTAGGCGATGCTGGCAAGTCTTCCTTTAAGGTACCCCAGCCACCTACTGTGAAGTTAATTAATTCAGTCCAAAATGAAATTATAGAGGCGTTTGGTGTAGTTTGTGTTCAATGCCATTTAAATGCAATCGCCTGTGCAACTCAGCAGGGACAGCCATGTTAGTGATGCAGCAGATGCCGGGAACAAGGAGGAAGAAAGAGGTTTCTTGCAGTGAATTGTATCTCCCGGCCAGAACTTTCCGGAACTTATTGGTACGTTCAAGACTGGGTTGGTGGGTAGCCGTTAAGGTGCACTTAATGACTGTTTCCATTCTGGCAGTTGTCTTCTCTGTCTGTTCCGTTCCAACAGCATTTCTAGACAGACAGAGGGTGGTGCTTCCCTTTAATCTCAGTACTGGGGAGACAGAGGCAGGCAGATCTCTGAGTTCGAGGCCAGCCTGCTCTATGGAGTGGGTTCCAGGACAGCTACACCAATAAACCCTGTCTTGAAGAGCACCACCCCCCAAAAAAAGGATTTCTGTTTTAAAATTTTTATCGAGAGACTCGTGTGTGTGTGTGTGTGTGTGTGTGTACACACACACGCGTGTGCATATGCACACCCTTGCAAATGTGTGCGCCCGTGGAGGTCAGAAGAGATCCTGGGAGCTCGTTGAACTGAATCACAGGTAAGCCTCTCTCAGTATCGACGGCAGAAGAAGTCCTCTGCAGGAGCAGCTAGTGCTCTTAACCACCGCACCATCTATGTAGCCTGAAATAAATATATGTTAATTACTATGTTGCAAATACTAGTTCCATGAACACTGTTGTTATAGATTACATATTTTGCCAGTTAATCCTGGGGGAAAATACCACTTCTGTGTTTTGTTTTGTTTTGTTTTAAGAACTTTTTTTTTCTTTTTAAAATTTTTACTTATTTGTTTATTTGTGTGTGTGTTTATGTGTAGGCTGTATGTGCCACAGTCCCACATAGGAAGTCAGGTGACAACCTGTGTAAGTCAGTTCTCTCCGTCTATCAAGTGGGTCCTTCAAATTTGAACTCAAGTCAATTGGGTTTAGTGGCAAGTACCTTTATCCACGGAGCCATCTAGCCAGCCCCCACCTTTGACTTTTTAAACGGCAGAATTTCTTTTTTTTCTTTTTCTTTTTTTTTTTTTTTTGTGGTTTTTCGAGACAGGGTTTCTCTGTGTAGTCCTGGCTGTCCTGGAACCTCACTCTGTAGACCAGGCTGGCCTCAAACTCAGAAATCCGCCTGCCTCTGCCTCCCAAGTGCTGGGATTAAAGGAGTGCGCCACCACTGCCCAGCATTAAACGGCAGAATTTCATTTGAAAGTAGATTGCATTATTTTCTAACAGGTTGATATTAATTAGCAGTGTTCTTTTAACTACATGTGGATCAAATGTCTGGATTCAAAAATATTAATTCTATCAGACTTTTTTTTAATGTATGATCAAAGGTACTTGAAGGAAGTCTAAGTAAAACTTATGTAGTAATTAAAGGACTTGGTTCATGAAGACAGTTTCTAGCATGTTCCCTGGGGTTCTGCTTCTGGGATGACCTTATAAAGATGGATGGACAGTAAGCTTCAGAGGGAAAAGCATTAGATGCTAGGAAACTCAACATCCGGGCACCTTGGAGTCCTTAATGGTTGAGTATGTGCATGAAATCCTAGGCAGAGTCTGTGTACCCCAAAAAGTCTCTGAGGGTACCCTGTTTTTAGGTTATCAAGCCAGGCTTTCCCCTGCCTGTGAGTCACTGGCCACAAGGACACACCCTGCATTAATTCTTCCCCCTCATACTTAATTTATTCTCTTGGAGCGAGTCAGGGAGAGAGAGGGAGAGACGTGGGCAACCCTTTCTTGAGTCCCTCATTTCTTGATTTTATTTCTAAGGGTATTGTAAATATTTTTACATTTCTTTCCAAAAGAAAATTTTCCATTTCTCTCGGGGAGAGAGGCTAACCAATCAGCGGGTGTGGATAAAGTAAAGCACCTTGAGGTTGAGTGAATTAAGGAAAAGAAAAATTGTTACAGAAATGTTTGAAAGCATTTCTTTTCTTCCTCTGTGAGTATAGGGGAAGGGGCTGATCCTGGCATGCTTAACAATTAAGCAAGATCATGCAGAAAATTATGTTTTCAATGGGTAGCAATTTGCTTTGGGGAAACATGGTCATCGCTTACCTAGACTACTAAAGGAGAGGTCACTTGAAAGGACAGAGTGTAGCTGTAATTATGTCAGGTCACAAGCATGTTTCAGAATACCAAAGTATATTCCTTTAAACATGGAAGAGTTGTCTTTGTATCAACATATCTACAGAACAGAAAACAAACAGGGCTCGGGATAAATGGGGCTGAGGAGCTGGCTCAGTAGGCATGAAGACCTGAGTTCAATCCTTGGGACTCACAAAAACAGCTGGACATAGCCAGCCATGTGTGCCTGCCACCCCAACATTTGGGACCAGAGACAAGATGATCCTGAGAACTCACTG